GTCTCCAAAAGTATTAGCCGTGCCTGGATCTCACGCAGTCTTTCAGAACATTCCGAAACCAGTGAACTAGGAGCCACCGAGGAACCATGCGTGCAATATTTGCTTAAAAAATCCCGAAGACGATGAACACAAAAATCGAGTTCTTCTGAAAAATGATAAAATTACACGAATTCGTATGTTCCTACAAAACTGTTGATTATAGGTGGATCCAAGGAGGTTTCCTGAGGGGAGAGGAGAGAGGGAAGGGAGTGGGGCTTCTATCGGCAACGATTGGGGAGGGACGGAGGGGGTTGAAGGGAGGGGGACGAGGGGGTGCGGAAGAGAGTTTTCTTCAGTTTCAGCTTTAAACCCGCACTTTTGTAGCTCTGCGCCTGCGCTGCTGAGGGCTGGGGAAGAAAGGGGAGGAGGCGGGGGCAAAAAACCCATCATTTTCTCCGCCCTCCTTTCTAGATCCGTCTATGCTATTGTTCAGTTCGAAAACATCGCTGTAAAAACAAACACTGTAAACCAAAACGGAAGCGTACAAACCGGAAATTCTCGAGAATTACGAACGAGAATTTCAAACCGAAAATCCTCGCTATAATTGAAAAAGTTCCTCATACAAATAAAAATTCAGATAGTCAAACAAGGGTTCCCGGTTCATCAAAGCATATATAATACAGAAGCTCTCCCACCCCTTCTGCCCCGCTCCAATTTCTCACATTTTTCCCATTTTCCTTAAAAAAAACTAACAGAAATTTGAACTGCTAACAAAACTGTTTATCAGCTTTTTTCTACTTTTCCCTTCAGGTCCAATATGATAAACTTGCCTGACCGTACTCCCAAATCCTGAAACTGTTGAGAGTTCCGCAAAAGTGATACCATCACTGAGGGATCGAGAGGATCAGTGGCAATACGGGGCAACATCGTGACTCCAAGATTTTCGTTCGGAATGCGTACATCGAAGAGGGAGGCCAATGTTGGAACGATATCCACTTGTTCAATGAGTGCTACTAAAAATGCCTTTTTTTTAATAAAAACTCATCCATCAGAAATTTGTTTTAACTACACAGTTTAAAAAAATGTAAATTTTTTTTTAACTAGTTAAAATGTAAATTTCATAGAATTTCCATTTACCGCACAAACAGTTTCATTTTTAACTAAACAAGTCTCTGCGCCTAATTCAACGCAGCTGATTGGGGGCCATGCTTATCCCGAGTGAGTAGAAATAACAACACAGATCACATGTGGCGTAGTTTGGCGCCTTTCTTTTGTTCAAGATGGGAAGATGTCAGAGGCGGATAAACAGATGATTTATTTGGTATATTTACGTGTAGGAATACAGTAATAACTTAAGTTGCTCGGTTGGGCAGGAGGAGGAACAGACGATTCACTTG